TGCGAAAATCTACACCATCCAGGCTAAAATCGACTTAACCGTCCCAGGACTAAGATTTTATTCAAAAGCTGATGATAGTTGCAAAGCTTAATAATGTCCAAAATTCTGATTCTTGCCAACCTTTTCGTTTTATAAGCAGACTTTCGAGAATATCAGTTGACCATTTTAATTTTAGATGCCTTCACCCCATTTAATTTAAGCTGACTAAAGACTGGTAGCTGAATTCTCCTACAATAATACAAATAGGCTTGGTATTCTCATCCCAAATGGACTAGAATGCAATTCCGACCTCGCCTGAACTGGCCTCATCAACACCCCCAGCGGGACTCGAGCTATGCCGATTCGGCGTGCAATCTCGTCATGTTAGTTACCACGTCACACTGCCACGAGTGCCCTTGGGTCACAAGGCGCATGTGAATTTCGAGCAAGGTCAGGCATTTTACATCTCACATTTTCTGATGGGATTGCCGATGAAGTAAACTTGTATTTGCCATAACAATCGACGACATTATTTTTTTCTCTAGTGAGTAAGTTGTCGAGACTACCAGTAAATAATGTATATGAATTATCCATTGCGAGGTCGAAACTGCAGTCAATCCAAGACCGGAACACCTTCTGGGAAAGCAAGGCCAAGTGAAATTAAATGGAAACGTCAGCTCCACTCATATCGTTGGGGAAACATCAACTAATAGCCTTTTATTACCTTAAACGAAATAGGGTGAATACATCTTTTGCCAATTGCATCAACCACAGTCAAGCCCTGCCTCCGTTCCCAGGAGTCACGAGAGACGCCGTTTCTAAGACGAGGCCATCATCGAGGCGCTGCCGAATTCCAGCCCGCGACAGGGCTCGGAGGGTCCCAGCTTGTCGGAGGGCAGAGGTGAGGCCGGAGCTGAGCACGACCGAGTGACCGTATGGCGGACGAAAACGGTTGGAGGCTGTATGAAGTAGAGGGTTTGTTTGTTGCCAGGAGTCGTGAGGCTTTGGAGCAAGCAGGGCTCCCCCTCAAAGTTGACCCTCGCATTCCGCCTCCTCCGAGTCTGCAATATCTTCTGTATGGCCTGTAAATGGGCAACTAGTGGGAAAAGTAGATGTGAAGACCCAAATGTTGTGGCTCCTGTCTTGGTCACAGTCTTCTTTCGATGTAGGCAAGTTGTCTGATCTCGTTTTCACAATTTGTTTGTATTGCCAGGGCGATCTAGTTGGATGCAGCTTACCAGAAGTTTTTCTGGCATCTTCAGTGAGATTTGCCATTCTCAGCATTAAGTTAGAGCTTGTCAAAGAGGCAAACGTAGTCAATCCTCTGACCAAGTTTCTGCTGAAACGGTTATGCCATCACTCCGCTTTCCGTCCTGACCCATCCATCAGCTCTCTGAATTTGTATCTTCTCCAACCTGTCAAAATCTCAAACTTGTTTATATTCCATTTCTTTAAAGATGTGCCCATTTTAGCGATTTTAATGGGGCATAAAATATTTTTGATTCAAGGGGTCTTTGAAACATTCAGACCTTATCTTATTTTCAATACTGGAAGACGTTTAATCACTAGTTCTATAAATGAAAATGTTGGTTGAAAGTGTTTTATAAATATCAGTATATATGAGTAGTATAAGCTGATGAAAGACTGAAAACTGAATCTTACCATGATCATATGAGCAGTCCATACGCTTTATATGAATTTTGCAGAAGTTTACTCACCTCAGGCGGGAGGTGGCTGCAATTTTGACACTGCTGGCCCACTCAGAAGGGCTCGAACTCGAATTATGCTAAAATAGGATAGAGTTTCCATACACTAACCACTGCGTCAGACTGGCGAGCAGAAAACTCGTAGGTCTAAAGGAAAACCAAATCGGCCAACGTGACTCTACTGACCATTTCAAATGAAAAGTGTGCTTTAGGAGAGTTCGAGAATTTGTCTCATCAGAAGCCGACGTAGGAGTTGGTGTTGAAGTAGAGACTTTTGAAAAGTTGTTCGCAAGTCTTCGGTCCATCGATGAATCCCTGACGAGATTACGTCTGTAATGTAACATTCATTCTCGGAGCAAGAAACCAGCATTTATGAGATAAAGCAAATAATACACCGAGCCAAGAAAAAGATGGCCGGGTGTAATTATAGCCACA